CTGCTGTTTAAGATAAGTGATGATAGAATGAGACAAATGGGAAGCTTTGACTTCCTGCTGACATGGGTGGGGGGAGAATTTGATTTCCTTCTCACACTTCTAAGCCTGCAATGTAACCTACTAATGCAAAAAGGGGTAATTATTACATATCATAATGTTTCAATATCAAAGATGAATGAATTATCAAATATATTCAATATATGAATGTATACTGTTTATTAAAAACAACAGGAAATTTAAATCCCTGATTCTCTCTCCAGAAAGGTGAAGGGGCAGAGAAATACATTCATCACCTCATTAACAGTGAGCAGGACACTTTTAAGCCTTATGAAGCATCGAGTATCATTATGATCAAAAGGATATCCTTGCTTGTTTGTTTTCCTTTAGGAGGAAAAAGTGTTTTACGCTACTGAAATATAGAGAAGAAGTATGATTAAAATGTGTTCATCTTTGCAATATAACATTTTCTAAAGAAGATAATAATGGAAGGTAATGCTAAAAGGGGAGTGTTGAGTTTTAGAAAAAGCAACAATTGAGGAAGGGAGGGAGGGAGGGAGGGAGGGAGAGAGGGAGAAGACGCACTTCCTTTTCTTCAATCCCCCTTTTCCATGACTCAGTCATGAATCAGATTTTGCAGGGCTCCTACTCTCTGTTTGTTCACTTTCTGATTTGATTGCAGAGATGGATCACTCAGGAACTGATAGGAGGGGCAGCCTCGCTTTTAGAAGGATTGAACTACTAAAGCTTTTTCTTCACAGAGCTAGTGTGTAGGAAATACAATTCTGCTGGCAGAGTAAAGTTGCAAAATAATCCTCTGCATAATCAGTAACTTCAAAATTGAGGATACTTCACAGGAAGTTTCCACAGTTCCTCCCCTACCTCCTCCTCCTCCTCCTCCTCCTCCTTCCTATTAACATAGAGATTTTTATTAGTTCCCAGTTTCCCTTCTTCTTTTTTAAAACTCTGTTCTCCCCTTCCAATGATGTTGTTCTGTTTCATTCCTCAGGGAACACATAGATACAAGCCTTTGTGACTGTTTTCTTCAATTAACTCCTGCCATGAGAATATGTCCTTCTCACAAATCTAAGCGTAGTAAAAGAATTACATTGGAAAAGTTCTTATACTGCTATGTGAATAAAATTGTAGATTAAATACAGTGTATGAAAGTAAATAATTATGATAGTTCCTTCTTGGTTCCTTCTTACATTATTTATATTTCATGTGTTTCTCCATAGACTAATTAAGGTGTTTATAAAAAAATAAGGGTAACTATTCTACTCTGTGATGAAAAAAATGCAGAATCAGTAGTTATGCTATACCTTTAGAAAGCATGTGGCAAAAGAGACTGTGGGATTTCTGATTCTTGAGAATTTTAAATCAGACAAAATGGAAAAGAAGCAAGGGATAAGGCAAGAAATTAAATTCAAAAAATTGGAACAGATTGTGTACCATGAAGTTTACAAATCATCCATGATTTGTTATCTTTAATCCTAAGGAAAGGTTTTGAAAATTCAAAAACTTGCATGAATCTTTGGGACATTTTTCTTAGCTCTATAAATGTATTTCCCAAACATGGATTCTGCATTCTTTTCAATAATACCATTTTATTCCTACAACTCTTTGGTCTCTTCTATTCAAAATTAAAAGAGTGAAAGTGAGGAGATTGGGACCATGGCAAAATGATGTTCACTTCTTAGTCTCAGCATTTCTGAGTTGGGAGAAGTGTAGATGTTCATAAATTACTATCACCCCACATCTAAGAGTTTGGAGAGTGAAAATTGTAGCACTATTACAGGAAACTGAAGCCATGATACTACTATGAGGTTTCATTTCATAATAAAAACAGTGAAAAATAAATATTCAGAAAACAGTAGTTCAAACAAGTCAGAATGTCTAACACTGCCTCTAAAATTGCAGACTCTCACAGCTGTGGAAAAATAAATCTACATTCTGATTCATATCTGCCTCAGCTACTTTCCATACATGTTTCAGTCTTAAATGGTAGAAAACTTTTAAAAGTCCAAAACTGACTCTCTTCCAAACATCCATATTTGAATGTAAACAAAATCTGAACATCTCAGTTACTAAATAGTAACCCATAAGGTCTAGTTTGACTTCCTGTTAAGTGAATCTGGGTGATCCAAGGTTTTGGAAGGCTGAATTTATTTGCATGTACTGTATTTGTCACTTGAAAACTTTTATGTGAGCATAAACCTATTACAGGTCAATTAGTATAAACAGAATTTTCAGTTTTCTATTTTTCTCCCCAAATACAGCATTTTTCAGTTTACTGGTTTAGTCAAGTTTTAACTGTAACAGATCTTCAGTAAGTCAGTTATGTGGTACCCTAAGAGCTACCCAATTGAACACCAAACTACTTTTTATTTCTTGATTTTTCTTTCCTAGGTAGAAAGTTCAGTCTGTTTTCTTGTATATGGAAATCACTGTATTATTATTATTTGCTTGTGGTACAGATGCTTTATGTTATCTCTTGTTAACATGTAAAAAACTATTTTTTTTTAGTAACAGGGAACAAGATGGACTATCTGATAAATGGAACAGTTGAAGGATTTACCACCACTGAATTTGACTATGGAAGTATAGTAACACCATGCCATGCTAAGGGTGTCCAAAAATTTGGTTCTAATGTCATACCAACCCTTTTTTCTTTGGTATTCATCTTTGGTCTTTTGGGCAATGTGCTGGTTGTGCTGGTCCTCATCAAATATAGGAAGTTCAAGAGCATGACTGATATATACCTGTTAAATTTAGCCATCTCTGATCTGCTTTTCATTTTCTCACTCCCATTTCGGATTTATTATTCAGTACACGACTGGGTATTTGGAGACACAATGTGCAAATTTTACACTGGAATCTTTTTTTTATGCTTCTACAGTGGAAGCTTTTTCATCGTCCTCTTGTCCATTGATCGATATCTAGACATAGTTTATTCAGCATCTGCATTAAAAGCCAGGGTGAAATGCTATGGTATCATTACAAGCATTCACACATGGGGCCTGGCAATTTTAATCTCTTCACCAGGATTTGTTTTTTTCAGATTACAGATGGAAAACAATAGGAAATCTTGCACTTCTCATTTTCCATATGAAAGTTATTTTGCATGGAACAAGTTCCTTATACTGAAAAAGTTCTTTGTAGGTCTGATTTTTCCATTGATAATTACGACCTTCTGCTATGTATGCATTTTAAACACCCTGTGGAAATCCAAGAATGAGAAGAACAAAACAGTCTGGCTTATTTTTATCATCATAATTATTTATTTCCTCTTCTGGGCCCCAAACAACATTGCTCTTCTGCTCCAGTTATTCCACACTTCGTTTTTTGTTGACAATTGTGACAATTTAAAGAGAATGAATATAGCATTGCAACTGACTGAAACACTTGCAGTAGCTCATTGCTGTATCAATCCTTTGATCTATGCTTTTGCCAGTGAGAAGTTTAGAAAATATGTCATCAGCTTTTTCCATCTATGAAATTCCTATATCTTCCTGTGTGAAGAACCTCTGGAACAGAGTAGTTCCACATACTGATATTCTATTGGAAATGAGGGCATTTCAGCAATCTTATGAAGAATGTGTATATAGAAAAATAGGATTTTACGGATTCAACTTTATGGACTGGACTCAAGGGAGGTTACTAAAGGATCAAGCCACTTCTAACAAAGCTACTTTGGTGTTAAAAGACCAGATCTGAACTGGATGAAGCCTGTTCTGGTGACATCAGTTCACCAATTATGTAGTACATGAATATTACATGCAGTTCAAGTTGAAATATTATAGATTTAATTGGGAATACTACAGGCAGTGAAGAGAATCAAACCTTTGCTTGAGTAAAGCACACTATACCCTATGACAGTGATGGCGAACCTACGACATGTGTGTCAAACGTGACACGCCACAAGTTTTGGGTGAAATGCCAGAGTTCACCAACACCTGACAACAACTATTCTGTTTGAGTTACCAAAGAAGCTGAGTTTGTTTTACTTGTATTTCAGTTTTGTAATTATTTGATGTTTCTTTATATAATACATAACACCACACATGATTGGACTGTATTTTTTTTTAAATAAATGAATATTGAAAAAATTGTTTCTCTTTTGTTCGGGGGTGGGTGACACACCAGCAGAGTCAAGTGAGGCATTTTCACGCCAAGCCCATAAGGTTCGCCATCACTGCTCTATGACATCTGAGATATATTTAAAACATCTTTTACAGCAGGACACATTTGCTAAGTCTAATGTAGCATGAATGACCAAACAAGTTAGTTCATTTCAATGAGTTTTGACAGGTTTCATTTTTTGAATAAGAAAGCACCTCATCTTCTCTAAATGTACTGAGGCTGCAATTCTACTCATATTTTTGGTGGTGTTAGTGTAAGTCCCGCTGAACAGGTCTTACTTCTGTGTAATCAAGCATTAGATTGCATTATGAATGCTTCTGATATTGCAGGTTTCCTGTATGGCTCTACAAAGATGGACTTAGCACAAGTTTGCATTTCAGAAAATTACTAAGCTATGAATTTGGATGGGAGCAAAGGCTATCTAGCCTGATGAGAATGGCTAGGAAATCTAAAGTGTTGATTGTAAGAGGAAAGACCTTTTAGGAACATCATATCCCATCAGCTTGTAAAATTCCTTTTGTAGGCATTATTTTTCTGTGCTAGGAAGAAGTTTTAATTTTAAATTATTATTTTAAGGTGATTGTTTTGGTGGTAATTTGGTGAAAAGCTGTTGGCTTTGGTGTAACAATTACAGCAAAAATTAAAGTTTTACTCTCCAGATTTCTTAATTGGATCTAAGGCTTGATTTTTATTGCTATTTTATTCTTTTATTCATTGTTCTTTTAACGTGAGTCATAGTTTAAAAAACAAAGACCTTCCCATCCCCCCCCCCCAAATTAAATGAAGTCCCTTACGGTCAAAACTATCTTCTCCCCATTTTAACAGGGAAAAAGAGGCTGATCTGATCTGAGTCAGATCATTGATCAAATTGCTCAGAATTGTCTGCACAGGCTAGCCTTGGTTCCCAAGGTTTTCAGGGGCATTAAATGTCTTTTCTAGCCTGCCCTGAAGATGCCATACATTGAACATGGGATCTTTTGCATGCAATAGAATTAATGTTGCTATTGAATCTCAAAGATGAAGTGTAAAGAATGTGGGGAAAATAAATAGGGAACAAAGTCAGGCTACCATCATATCTCTGCCTATACGGAAGAGATTTTATCCAAAAACAGTGGGATGAACTTATAAGCAAATTTGCTTTTAACTGCCTTGTCAGCAATTGAGCCATAAAAACATGTTTGGACAACACATTAAATCATTAAATGTTATTTGCTTATATTCTGGGTTCCTGAAGGATTTATGTTTTATTCTTGTACAAAGCAACTTCAGAATAGCACTGCTATGAGCCAGGGGAGATTCTAACTGGAAGCATGGCTTCTCCAAACTATTTATAAGCTTTCAGTCACAGCACAGGATGACCATCTATTGAGCAGATTAAATCCTTGCTCTACCAAGAATGATCTTTGCTAGACTTTCATTCCCTCCAACAAGTATTTCTGGAACAGCCTCTGCTTGGGGATCAAAACCCACCCAGTGAGTGGTACATATAAAATAACTATTTCCTAGCACAGTGCAACACTTTAAAACTCAACGCCTGTCGAATGGACATCCATTTTGATGGAAAGGAAGGGAATAAAATAAGAGTGTATGTGTATACAAACACGCATAGAGTACACACAGAATAAAGTGAAGTATTCTCAGTAATATTCAACAACTGGTTGTTTTACATTTATTGTTTTAGGCTAAAGGCACTTGAGTCAACAAAAACTGCTCTATTTGACCTGTAAACATCACTTAACAGTGAATAAGCTGATATTTCGTTTTTCTTCTACCATGTTGTCTGGCATTATTATTCCTAACAGAAAAGAAAGCATTACATTTTAGAACTTCAAACTATGCACATGTGCTGAAAACTGACAGCCATTTCTCCATATTCTGAGGTAGGAAATATAAGTCTTAGTTGAATGAGGTGATAAATAAATCCCACAATGATAATAAATGAAAACTGCACTACAATTCCTAAATATATAAATTAATAAACAGTTAATAAAGCGCCTCCCAAAATGAGATATGTCCCTACCTACTGTATGCTCATCAGCTCCCCCAACGTTGAGCACCGCCCTTGGCCACCCAAAGATTGCCCATCTCTGAGCTACAATATACCAGTTCTTTGAGGTTGAAGGGATGAACTAGATCTGGCTGTACAAGTTTTTCAGGGTTGAGGACTATACTTGGCTTTTGAGCAGCATGCTGAGGAATGCACTCCAAAAAGTAGAGGGTAGGCCAAGAACATATATGATTACTCTCCAGCCATGTATTAAATAATTTCCCCTCTTCTTTTATAATACACAATGCAATTGATTTAATGTTTGGGAGACTCCAGGATCAAAAAGCTTTCAAACTCAGATAACATCAGATACCAGAAATAATGTCTGCTATTTGTAGCCCACGGGTTGTTTCCTAACACAGAATTTTTCAATCTATGTTCCGCAGAAACCTAGGATCTTGGGAGAACTCAAGCAGTTCCAAGAGAGACTAAGGGGGGGAAAGGTTCATTCAAACATATCCAGTTTTCTGTCACTGGGGCTTCACCTCTTGATCAGGGATTCCAGGAATTTTTTCTTTCAACTAACAGGTTCTGCAGTCTGAACGAGTTTGAAAACCCCTGTCCTAAATAGTGGGCAAACGGTAAGTATCCATTTCCTGCCTCCTTTTCCTATTTACTCTTTTAAAAATTATTTAGCTGATAACAAAAGACAATTGCAAAATCAAGTGAAGCAACCCTTTGCCTGTATGCATAAACTGCACATATGGGCATCCTTGTATCAAGTCAACAATTGATAACCACAAAAATCAAGCATGATTTCTTGGCAGGAACTGAATACCAGCATAAAAACACCAGAACAGCACATTTAGTTCTAACTTAATTTAGTTCTAGGTCCTGGTATTACTCAAGAGTTCTTAAATAATCAAAGTATGCAATTAGAAATTAATTAAAATATACAATTTCTCTCTAAAATTAGCATTTATTCCTGAGACCTGAAAAATGGCCAGCGTAACACCGATTTTTAAAGCAAAGATGGAAAATAAGCAGACTCCTGAGGTTGCTGAATCCAAACATTGGAGTGGCACAATCAAGATAGCCAATTACGATGAATGCTGGAAATACAGTTCAGCAACTTAAACTAGAGAGAGTACATTAATTTACGGGTCAGTTCTATTTAATATTTACTCCAGATAAATTGATGAAAAATATTAATACCCAGAAATAATCAAGAACAGTATTTATTTATTTCAATTTGTATGGTGTTTTTGAAGACCAGCTTTGTTGAGACCAGTTTTAGTCTTTTTACACTTTTGGAGGGATTAAAGACACATAAGGGTGCTCCATTAGGTTTTATGTATTTGGGTTTAATAAATACCAGGAAGCAGAAAGTAAGACCAAATGGACAAGTTTACAGGAATGTGCAAAGTAGTTCTTTCAAGCATGCATTTTGGAATATGCACTTCAACAGTTGTTTAAAAAATATATAGTATGCACACACATATATACACACACACTTAGGGCTGAGCAGTGAGATGGTGACAATAAGTTATTCAGGATGCTACAATTAAAAGAAAATAGAGAAGGGCTCCGATCGATCTTCCAACCAATAGAATTGGCTTTAAAATGGCAAACGCTCTTCAGTCTAAGCCGATTCCAACTGATGCACATTGCACCAAAACATCCAAAATGTGAATATACCGTCTAGTACTCATCCAGGTTTTTGCAGCTGATCCAGCAAGACTCTTAGGCATCCATAAATCCCCCGAATAGGTTAGGAAAAAACTGTTCTCTTAGCCGTATATGATCGCTTTCTTGCACACTCCTCACAAAACCATCCCCACTCCAAGAAAACTCGGCGGAAAACTTGCTTAAATAACAAAAAATAAGCCCCGCCCTCTAACGCTTAAAGGAACCATAAACTCCTGCTAAGTTTTTTTTTTTTTTTGGCTGCGCTTCTGCATCCGCGTCGGCGGTGCCTTTAAGAATGGCTCGGCTTAATTCTCAGTCACATGGCGACGCGTAGTCAAGAATGGCGAGAGGCTTAATGATATTTTGCGCATGCGTGGTTTAGCATCCTGGTCTTTCCCGCCAGACTTCGGAAGATTGGAGTTCCGGGGAAGACTCCGAGGGGGGTAAGTGACAGCGAAGGACTGAAGGGTGGCGGTGAGGGAGGCGGGTAAGAGAGAACTTTGTCTCGTGCCGCTTCTGCCTTCATCTCTCCCCTAAATTTCCTGACTTTATTCCGTCTCCCGCCGTTACCTGTGGAAGAGTTCCTACTGCCATTTCTCAGGAAGCGGGTGGGAGGATGCAGAATCGTCGCCGGTGTCCGAGATTAGGGATAGGTTTTCCTCTGTCACTGGTCTAATCGCGACCTACCTCGGGTGCTAAAGCGTTTCAGATGACCTTCTCTGATCCGGAGCCTTCCAGGTGTGTGGAACTACACCTCCCATCGTCATCCCCATCACCTGCTGACTGGGAATGATGGGGGGGGGGGAGGGGGGGGTGGGGGGGGAGACAAAAACAG